GTCCCAGGGCAGCTGTGGCTGCAACTGTAGCTGCCTCCACCAGTGTGTGAATGTGAGAGTGAATGAGTAGTGGCATTATAAAGCGCTATATAAATGTAATCCATTATTATTATTATTATTATTATTATTATTACTACTACTACATGTTGCTGGTGGTCCGGTCTCCACCCACAGGGTGGTGTGGGTCTGTGCAGCACTCTCAGGTGGAGCACACACCTGACCCTTTAGGACGGCTTTTCCTTTAATCTGTCCCCGGTCTGCGTGTCCTTCTCTGTACTCGTGTTTGTCTTTTAGTGCAGCTTCAGTCAGAGGAAGCTAGCCCCTCTGTGCAGCAGCGCCCCCTGCTGGGTGGTCAACACTTTGTTGTAGCCCAAACGAAAGTCTGGAGTTTTTATGCCTAAAATATGTAAAATACTCCACCCACTCACTCACTCCTGGACCTCCACCTCCTCCAGCTGTTCTGTAATCTCCAGCTGTGTGTGCTGGGCCTCCTGGTCAGATGCTGAACCTCCTCCACTGCCTCCCTTCCCTGGAGGAGCAGCAGCAGCTCTCCTCTGAGCCCCTCACCATCTCTCGTCTATGAATGACCACCTTACAGGGGTGGAGATGTTTGCATGTTGGCCAGAACTGTAGGAGGGTGTCGTGTGAGCAGGTCACATGGGTCCCACCCACAGTCAAAGGTTCCTGATCCAGAGAGCTGATCTGGATCCAGGCTGAGGACGGAACATTTAGCCTCGGTTTGTGACCCGTCGCCTGGAAACGGCTGATGGGGTGGCGTCAACACCGCCCACCCGGGGATGTGTGAATGTGATAACTTGAACGAGGTGACGTAGCAGCTTCACATTCATACCGAACGTGCATCTACGAGGAGACTGAGGGCGAGCACCGGAGCCCACCATAACTAATGAACCGAATCCCCCGAGGACCGCGGGACGCCTCGCAGCAGAAATGATGAGCTCAGCAGTTCCATCCATCATCTGAGATAAAACGCCGTGCGGGGAAATCCGGCCTCGAGCGGTCTGGTCCAAACGGCGAGGCGGGACCTGTTAATTATGAAGTCCTGCTGGAGGACAGCGGAGGAGACTGGGTGGATGTAATGGCTTAGACGCGCCTCACTGCCATTTTTAATGAGGAGACTGAAGATGAGGAGGAGGAAGGAGGAAGGGTAGAGGATGGGAAAGTGAGAGCCTGCTGATAACAGTGTGTCATTAGAAAGGTGTAACTGATCGTGTGTGAGAGACCGACCTGGAAGCAAACAGCAGGGGGCGCTGCTGCACACGCGCAGTAAAGCTGTTTTCCTGCTGCAGTGTTTATTTTTCCAGCTGTCTTTGAATCTCTGATCTGCTCTCTCTCCACAGATATCAAAGACTCTCTGATGCAGGCGCTGGCCAGCTACGTCTGTTACCCACAATCCCTCAGGGCTGTGGAGAGGATCCCGGAGGAGCAGTGAGTCTGGTTTGATTCTGTTTTCTAGAAAAACCTTCAGGGTGACTCTGAGCTGCTGCTCTTCAGTGATCAGAAAACACTTACTCGCCCATCCCACCTGGACAGGTGGCCAGTCCATCGCGGGTGACGCACACTCGCCACTCACTCTCTCACCTGCAGTCAGTTAAGCTAACGAGCGCGTGCTTGGCGTGCGGGAGGAAAACTGCGACCTCGGGGAGACGCTTCCTGCTGTGAGCCGATGGCGCTAACCGCTGCTCCACCGAGAGGGGCGGCCGTGAGCTCATGTCCTGCAGCGGTCCAATCCCGTGGCTCCAGTTGTCTTTGAACCGACCAATCAGCATGCCACATTAAATACCAGCGGCTCCCTCCTGTGTGAATTCGGACGCAGCGCTCGAGTCTTTGCGATGAGACGCATTTAAAATAGAAAGTCTAAATCTGCTAATGGTGGATTCTTATTGGCTGGCAGCATTTAAGGCTGTTAGAGGGTTTAATAAAGCCACGCTGTGCCCTCTGTAACAGGCTGCAGTTTGTGGGGTGGTGTAGTTGGATCCATGCACTACACCCACTCTGAGAGCTGTTTTCATCTGACCTCTGACCCTGAAACCTGCCGGCAGGGTTCAAACATCAGGGCGGGACCAGCAGCGGGGCGTCGGCAGAGACGGCGGGCAGTCTGATGTAAATAACAGCTGCGCTCACAAACGGAGCTCCTGAAGGGATTGATGTCATGTGGTGTCAGCTCGCCACAGCTGATGGATCAACGTGTGTCCGGCGTGCAGCTCGTGATGAGCGGCCTAGTTTGTCTCCTTACACTAAACGACACACGGCATCGTTTCTGAGCATCAGTCAGGATTAAACGTCCCTCAGCTCTGTCTGCTGACAGGGAAGTTGCACGATGCGTGCCGCCGCCGCTGCTTCCTCCCTCGGTCCACGCCCTCGGGCTGTGTGTTAGTCCTCTCCACGTGTAGCACGCTCGCGCTCTGACAGCTGGGTGAGAAGTGGGTGCATTGTTTTTATTGTTTGTGCCTTTTTAGCTGCTGTAATCGAGCCTGATGTGCGAGCCGAGCCAGAGCTCTGCTCACTGAACGTCTGCGGTGACGTTAGCAGCATCAGAGCAGCTGTTCAGCTGTCATGGAAACAGCTGCTCTCACTGAAATGATGTTTATGTGTCGGAGCTGACAGGAAGTGACGTGTTGATGCTCACCTGTCTGATTCCAGGCGAGTGGCCATGATGAAGAACCTGCTGGCTCCGTATGAGCAGAGACCCTGGGCCCAGACCAACTGGATCCTGGTCAGACTGTGGAGGGTGAGACAGACACACACAGACACACACACACACACACACAGACACACACACACACACACACAGACACACACAGGTGAAGTGCATAAGCATCCCGATGA